TCGTCAGACGAAACATCTCTGAGGCCTGCTAGAACACTCGAAATCCCGATCGTGTGCAAGGCCGTAGGGCACAACGCGTCGACCGCCTGATCTACGTGATGGACCTAGGACGGTGAATCGAGTATGGATTAGTTTATAGGGGGACAAGGCTTGCACAGCATCTACCGCACCCTCTCCCCCACGCTCACCTGGCTCTAATGGCAAGACAATGTCAAGACAATAGACGACGGCTTTAGGCACGATGATTGACACAGCTATGCAGCCCGCTTGCACGTGTCACACACGACCTGGTCCCCGTAGCATGTGCCAGACTTTCACGAGGCGGCTCGAATCTCGCGTGGGTGAGTGGGATAAAGGCCACGCTGAAAAAGAGCCATCATAGGCTGACTCCCAGTCCTGAAGACTGAGTTAGCCCCCCCCCCCCCAGTTGGCAACCTTCAAAGTCACAAATTGTATCTTGTGATAGAATCGTGCGCGTCGGATTTATTATAGTGAGGAATGTGCGGACGTGCTGTGAAGGTGGACTCGCCTCACTTTGTTTTCCCTCTCCTGTGTACCAGTCAACTGTCCGATCCTGTCAGCCAGCTGGTGATTGGTTGGGCGCAGCGGTTGACGTGATGAATGTGTACGTCTACGCGTGCCACCACAACCCCGGTAACAGTCATGGGCTCGCGCAAACTCTGGGCAACCTGGTTGGCGCGTGTCGTGAGCGAGTCTGACCCTGTTTTGGTCGAACGTGTCTACAGCGCAGGTCACACTGCGAGGGACCAGGCAGTAGGGAGAGAGCAAGACCATAGACACAATTTTATATGAGAGGTTATAGTAGGAATATGCTTCATGCATTACTACTGTGAGTGAACATTGTGTTGAGTTGTTTGGGTGAAGTAGTCTAGAATGGAAAACTGTCGCCCGAAACCGGTTTGCCAAACCTTCTCATCAAAATACCTCGCTAGAGGCTAAAACGCCTCAACACAAAAATCATACACAAGGCGGACTTCCTGAAGTATACTTTTGCCAGGACTTAGTCCCTCGGTATCATATAGGATTGTGCACACCTTTACTGTTCATCACAGGGTGACGTGACCGCAGGGGCGTCCACAAGTAGCCGAAAGTGGCCCAGCCTTCTGCTAGGTGCGAAACTAGCAAGGTTTCGAGTGTTCAGGAACCAGCAACGACAGCGATGCTGTGGCGCACAGGGTTGGCGCCTCGATTAGCTAATGAGGTGCGGCAAGGCCCTACAGACGGTACTGTGACATGGCGATCGTGAGCTGCTATCGAGTAAACCTGCTTGCCACCACAGCCCTATGGTCAGGTTCTTGGGCCAAGGTGCTAGAGGAGAGGACCTCGAATAAAGCACAAAGGTGGCTACTGGAGGCCCATCCGTATTCCAAACTCTAGAGCCAAAACATCCATCCCACTATTTACTGTGTCTGCGGTGCCCTTCACACGCTAAGAGTCTCAGTGGCAGCTGTGTGAGGCTGCGAGTTTGGGATACCGCATCCTTCCTGTACTCTAAATCTGTCCTCGTAAGACTTCCATGTGGTTCCAAAACTTCAGGGTCACTTTCGTGGGGAAGAGCAGGAGGACGCTTACCGACCAATCAGCTGCAGATGTGGTAGAGAAGCTTCCTTAAGACGTTAAAAAGAGGATATATGTCCGCGCTGAAAAGTAAGTCGGGCGTGTACTCTCACCGTCTCTTAGGATAGTCTAAGTTTTCCGAGTCACCCAAACACACTTGAGTGAAGTAAGGGAGTATAAAAACTCACAAATTGTAAATTGTGCAACGCAGAGACCACACTGCCAGAGAAAGGGTTCCCAGGAGCGAGGTGACTGTATGTCTTCAGTGGAATTCAGCAAAAGTGCAGAGCTTTCCGTCTCCGGCAAATAAATTGATATCTCCACAGTCGAGGGCGACTTGAATGTGAGTCGCGTTTGCGCGTTCATGGCCATTTCGAGCTGACTGGCAGAGACAGCTAACATACGAGGTCGATCGGCAGTGCTGTTTTGAAGCGAAAACGACACTAAGTTAGCTGCAATATTTCCCAAATCTATTATCAGATTAGAACTTTGAAGCCCACTCTCTGATTTCGCAGCCAGGCTAAACAGATTTGAAGGTATGGATGCAAAGATTGAGATGTTCTCCTCCTATTTTAAGTTTTGCCTGTTTGTGCTCAATGGCAGTGATCATCAGAAAGTTTCCAGGCTGACATGCTCACATCTCCTGCAATTATTCAATGCTAAGACATAGGGCAACAGAGGTCAGCATCTGAATGCAGCTGTACAACAGAAGCTTCCACTAATCCTAATATCAGGAGATAGAAAGGAAAAAAACAAGGTTCGGCTTCCTGAATATGCAAAAAGCTGCAATCTAGCTTCCAGATAGGCGACCCTCGGAAGGGTTTTCAAGATGTCAGTGGGCTTCAGCCGAAAACTTTCAAAAAACACCAATTCAAAAAACAGAAAGTATCTGGACGATACATAGCAACTGTAAGGGTTAAGAGTCCTTCGAAGTAAAGCGTGCGTTAGGTGAGTGTGGCCTTTACCATATGAATACTTTCTGGTATCACTTTTTTAGAAAATTGGTCGGGGTGTTGTAAATGTGACGACATAGACAACCTTAGAATAGGATTTTAATGCAACTAGAGAAGGGCTATAGGCAGTGGGAAAGCCTGTAACAAAAAATAGGAAGTCTAAGAGCCGACCATGCAAGATCCGTTTTATCGTTATGTGGTACAATACCAAGGCACGGTAAAGTTGCTTGTCCTCCGAAACCAGGAGCTGGGTAAACGATACGGTAAAAGAAGAGGGTCCCATCTCAATCAGGCTTTGCGAGATGTCAGTGTGTAGGTTTTAGTCATTGCGGCAGTAGAACGCATCTAACAGATCCTGTATTATTGTAATCAGGTAGGTGTGATAATTAGCACGGGCGGAAAGGCGCCAGATGTACGTCAGAGCGGAACACTGAAGCAAATAACTTGACAACAAAAAACAAGACCGTAGTCATTGACAAGTATGCAGATTTTTGGCCACGAAGAGTATGCAGTTAGCTTTAATGGTTTACCCAACGGGTGGATTGGGCGAGGCCACAATCCTTGTTTGCTCTGGTGAGATTTCTTCAGGATTTTCTGAGACAGATGAAAGCAGGACGCGACGCCAACTGGGACCTGAGGTACTTTGACCGCCGTCTTCAGTGACGAGTACGAAGGAGGGCAGGGCGGTGGGGAGGATGCGGGTGCAGATCATGTACTGCACTGACTGCGGAAGCTTGGCCCAGGGGTACACCGGGTAACGGCCGTAGTTCAGGCTGGTGCTTAGCCTACGACGGCAGGGCTCGGCCAGACTCATCAACCTCAGTCTGGACGGAACGTTGAAGCAAGCGAGACCCAATGGTTACCGAACGCAGGCCTTACGAGTTACAGAAAGAATGCTCCTAAGAAAGCGCCCACAGGGGGCGGGGGGCGATAATTGACCCTCACTTTGCGCAGCTGCAAACAGACAGGAAGTTCATGCATTTAACGAAAGGGAATGGGAAAATATGGACTTCTATGGTGAAGAAAACTACAATACCAGGCAGTCCTGCAGAGAATATCATCTTGGCGGAGCCACCTTTGAGGCACTAGACAACGATAAACACGTAATAATGGGGCTAAATCTCATTGAACGAGACGGCAACGGTAGGGCGAAAACCCCCCAATTAGCTGTCGGTATACTGGGGATCGTGTGCTGATGTTTGCACTTGCGAAACCTAGTTAAGTATTGATGACTGACAGTTGTACCCAAGAGTGGAGAAACAAAAACGGAGAGCATGAAGTTAAAAGGCGAAGAGTACAGCCATAGAAAGAGGAAATTAGGGACGGAGAGCGTTAATGGAAGAGTGGACAAAACGGACACACAGAGACGAAGAAGCAAGAGTTTAAAGAAAGTGAGAGTAGGGTTCCAGGAGCTTGCAAAAAACCGATTAGCTCGAAACGCCGAAGAGTGCATCACAATGCACGCCAGAAAAGCGTCCGACGGTCGAATAAGACAAACTTAATAGGTGACTAGAAAGGTCTCCATATAAAATATAACTTTAACACTTGAACCTCAAGTCATACCCAAAGATCCCCAGTTGCGACTTCATGCACAGAGGGGTGTAGATACTGGCTGATCAACAAGCTATCTGGTCATTGCACACTTAGTAAAGCAAATAAAAGAGGGTCTCCTGCGAGGCAGATACGTAAATCCACCCTAGTGGTCAATTGGAGGTCTTTAACCTAGTTTCTAGATTCAGGGCGTCAAATGGAAACAGCAGGATAAAAATTCCGTCATTCAAACAGGAGGGGCCTACTAGGATACAGTATGTGTTTCTGAATGAGGCGCACTAACAAGCGACAATCGGGTAGATTCTTAACTGCTGACTGATGCTATATGCCCAAGGCGTAAGGATAAGGTAGTGGGGCAAACGACAATGCAGCCGAGGTGGGCAAAAAGGAACCCAGACCGCTGCACAAGCTGGAACTATGGCACTAGCTGGCGTCCACTTACTGTTCAACAGCCAAACAGACAAGCGCTGGAGGTCTTCAGAAAAGCAAAACAGTAAAACCCGTCGGTCTGTACCTTATCTGATCGTACACACAACAATTCAACAGAGCAATTAAGACATAACAAAAGGCAGAGTGTGTATAAGGCGTTTATTCGAAAATAGAACTCTCAACCTTAAAAAAAGAAACAAAAGTAGTGGGCTCAAAAGAAACAGTGCGAATTTTATAAATGTATGCTGTAACCACCCTGTGGGTCGGTGAAATGCGTCAAACTGCGGCCATGAACAACCGCCAGCGAGTTATTGAGCTCATAGAGAGAGGTTGAGGCATCGGCCGAGGCCATGTCCTCGGGATCGGCGTGCTGACTGGGACAGGTGGCCGTGAGGGCGGCAACCCGCGTTCGATAACAGGGCTCCTCGGGGTCGTGCTGCCTGCCTGTGGCGAGGTCAATCAGAGCAACGGGATTACGCTGGCCGGTATGCCGCAGTGGAGAGCTCCAATCGTCTAACTTAGACACTGGGCGAGCACCCTTTCCAGGCAGCATATCGTAGACGAGCAGCCATTCAGGCTCGAGGGGGGAAACAAAGAGAAAACGCTCAGGGGGATCATCATCTCCATCCTCGTCACAAAGCTGGAAGAGCAGGCACGGTAAAAGAATTGAAATTTCGGTGTTATGGGAGAATCTTCTACCGGAGTAAAAATTAGAAAAGTCAGAAAAACCTGAATTTGCAATGCACAAAAGTTCGAATAGTGGCCAAAATCCAGAAGGATCCTGCGTTGGTCGGTAAAAAGGTAATCGGAGGGAAAAAAGTCTAGAACATTTGCCAAACCACGTTTTCTTGATAGAAGACTGGAAGAAAACGGTTGCGACTAGATTCGTGAACTTTAGGTCCGTTTTAGTTAAACAGATGACAATCTAGTCGCCGAAGCCGACCAGGACCAAGTTCGACAGGGATGTAAGTCTTGTATCCAGACGTTATTGTCTTCGATGTTCACGGAATCGCTCGCTATAACTGCTGAAACGCTGTGTTCCAAAGTGTTCAAAAAACTGACTATGCATGCAAAACAAAACGCACAGACTTGTAGTCAAGGCATGGAAATACCTTGAAGAAAAAGCATCAAGGAACATGCCCGTTGTCTATGTCCCGGAGCTTTATCAACCGTCTCTGTGGGCGGTCGCGTAGCGACAAGCAATGCAACTGGAAGGATTACCGACAGGGTTGGCTGACGACGATCAATAGACCGGAAGTAGACATTACAGTCTTCCTTCCGTCTGTTGGTATTCTTTCTACTTGAATTTTTTTGTCGTCAAGCCACCGCATGCGAGGGCCTCTGATAGAGCCCCATGTCAAAGAACAAGCACTTTCCTTAATAGAATCGGATCAGGGGAGTGCCAACTCCGCAGGAACCAATATTGCGGATTGCAGGTAAAAAGATGCCAATCCAGTGACTCAGTCTTAGGGCGCTATACTTCATGAGCGATAATCCAAAAGTCTGAGTTAAAATCCAACGTTCTACAGACTTGAGGTTTGAGCGTGGATGGCTGACGACGGCTAATTAGTCGGAAGTGAGCATTTGAGGCTTCCATTGCTCTCTTGAAACGAGGTCTAGCTACCCGCAGGTACCAGTTCAAAAACAGAAGGGATAGTAAACAGCACACACATAATCAGAAGACTTTTTCACCTTTTTGGCAGATCTTGTTGTTGCCCCAAATCTCTGCTAGACAGTCTCTAGCAGGTAGTCCGGAAGGGAGGTATAGTCAACGTTCAACCGTATGGAACACTTAAAGTAGGCGACGACAATGGAATTCCTGAAGTCCCCGTATATCACAACGATTCATTTCTCTTAAACAGCAATAAAGACTGTTCTGAAATACTTTCCCACAAGCCATGTACCTTACGTTTGCGGTCGTTTTCATCCCCGATGCTTGCATGATCCCGTGTGCACTCCGATCGAAAACATCGGCTGTTAGACTGAGCAATTCCCCAACTATAGATCAAAACACTGACTAAGTGACGCATGTTTAGGCAACAAAGTTGTAATGGGTCTGTCTTCAGATATCACCCTTCCAGGGGGTTACTTTCAATCGTGGAGGCTAAAGTGATTAAAGTCAATTTAGGTTTTGGTCGATGTCTTCAAAGAGCCGCAGTCCGGCTGGTCTGTCTACACGCGGTAGTACATGTATGCGGCACCGTAGAGTGTGATGGCACGCCCAGGCGCAGGCTCGCGCTGAGCCAACCGCCTGCGCCCAGTCCCCGCATCAGATGGCTGACCGACTTAGACAGTGGACTGGGGTTCGGGGGAAGGAAGAAAATGTGGGACTGCGTTCATACGGCACCCAGCGCATATTCCAAAAATCTGACGCCCTTTTAAACTAACTCGGTGCAATTAAATCTGTGGCTTGGAGGGCTGCCAACTGACGGGATAATTCCGTCCTCTCCTCCAGTGGGAGAGACAGACCTGCAATGGCTCCTTAACGTGGCCTCTATGGGAATCCCAGTCAATTGGGATCCGAGACGTCCACCCCCCCCCCTGCCTTTTGTGAAATCCTGGTCCATCGTGTACGGACCAGGCCATGTTTGGCATGCACAGACGGGGTGTTTAACTTTATCTGTCAACGGCACTACTACTACTACTACTACTACTACTACTACTACTACTACTACTACTACTTCTACTACTACAAACTAATTCACGCGCAATTCGCCGTCCCCGCGCCCCAACACTGCTGTGGACATTTTCGTTAGCGTCATGTGGTCCCCATAATGAGCTGCCCTGCAGAAGCGCCGGACCAAAAGTTGGGCTCAGTTTGGCCCACGACGCGCGTTAGTCAGGCAGAACAGATTCTGTGCGGGCCTATAACACTCGTCGTACATGGGTGGGGGGATGTGTATTGACACGCCCAGACGTAGGCCTCCCCGACGCATCGGTCACTGTGCCCTACCCTTGCATCAGATGTTTGACAGTCTCGGAAGTTCAATGGGGCATGGGGGATGGATGGGGGAGAAAGCGAGGTTGAAACCGGGTAATCTATCCCTACGGCACATCGGCGCATTCTGCCTTATAACAATTCTGAAGTGCTTGAACCTTGGCGCGGAAGACTGCCAACCGACAGGGCTGGAAGTCAGGCTGAAGTGACCCCTAACCGATGTGATATCCGAGTATGGTACGAGCTGTGGGGATCACGTCTTGTGTGGGGCACGCGTAGACGGACTACTTAGCTTTGTCAAGCACTGCGCTCAAGCCCGCATCCGGTCGTCTTGTCATCTGAGCCAGGAGAGTTCTATATACCTTGTATAAGTCTACCCCACCATAAACTAATTCACGCACAAGGCACCCACCCCGTGGGACACAAGCTCCCACGGAGCTCACGGGTCAACAGATTAACGTGACCTTGGTGCATGAATGGGCTACGCAGATCGCACCTATTGAACTGAACTTTAAACTTGTGAAGTCTCACCAAATCAAGGCGGTTCTCTTGACTCTGTCACGCCTGACCTGGGAGTGTAAAATTGGCGTGGGTGTCAATCGGCATCACACGCCTACGAGTCTGGTAGAAATGTTTCCATCAAAAAGGCGGAGTGTGTTTTATGTCGCTTGCAAGTAACTTTGACGCTTCCCGTTAAGAAGAAAAAAAACACTGGCCGCACTTACATCGAAAACAACCTCCTCCATGTGTGCAAGGAGAGGATGATTGCTGGTTGGGTGCCAACAACCACCTTCGTCTACTGGAGCCTCTTGCCAGTCGGAAACGTCGAAGTAGGAATGGCATTGCCCACAAAGTTGATTTGCCAGGAGGGCCTCGGGTCTGGTCAACGACTGACCCCTCTCCGACTGTCCGGTATTGGCCATGTTTCCTAATGCAGATTCGCCACTGTCTATGGGCACCAGAGCCTAAAGCGGAGGCAGGATGAGTTCAGTCTTGAGAGGGGCATCGGCAGGCGTAAACTCGAACAAAGGCAAAAAGGTTTGTGGAAGTCTTTTTGATTACGCGAAACAGATTGTAAGGCTGCAGTAAGCGACCGTAAGGTCCACAGCACGTGAATTTGCATTTTTCCAGTTTCTGGCCGATTTAAAAGCAAATTGAAAGCGGGCCGCAGTCCTCTACCACAGTTAACATATACCCGATCTCAATTGACAAGAGAACGAGCCCACGGCTCAGTGGCTAGAGAGCGAGTTCTTGTCTCACGGGTTACAAACCCAGGGTTTGATATTTTTGGTTGATGGCAGCTAATGGGTCATAAATGACCATTCTAGTCTCCCTTATCCTTGTCTGTACCCCTTTCCTACATATACATATATGCATACCACTTCTTCCCTACAACATATATGTGTATTGGATGGTAGACATCCCAAGAAATATATGCTGAAGCTAGATACGTTCTTTGGGGAAACACCTTATTGTGTAAATTTTCAACGCCGGTTCCCTTGGTCGTGGTCAGACGCAGAAAAAATGCACTAAAAACAGTTAAAATTATAGGTGCAGTCGCTTGGCGTTTGCCAGTAAGCGACCGCCGTGTGTTGTGCCAGTCTGTTCTGATTGGCTCTCGTCTCTTCCCCCTCTCCACCAAGACTTTTGTACGAGGTATCCAACATGGCAGAGGGCGCTTACTGATCGTGCTACGGGACCTACTCCTCCTGTGATGGCTCGGGGCTCAATCTCAAGTCCCGTAGGCAGTCGCACAGCGACTAATAGCATATGATAGAGGGAGTTCCGACAGACAGGGGAGACTGCGGTGGCCATTTCTGGCTTAATTGACGTCGTCAGTTGACCCCACCAAGGCCAAGGTCCTTGGGGCACCTGAGCCTCGATCCCGTGTTCTTTGGTCATCGCACGTCATAAAGTGCAACGTTCGACCAATTGAGCCGGGGGATCTTTGTCATTTCCGTTGCGATTGGGAATATTAACTATGTCGGAGGTGCGTTCACCGGGACAGGCTCATTCTGTTGTGCTTTCGGCTCGATCTAGAGCGTTGGAATGATTTTTAACCACAAGTCGGCATGCATGAATTAACAAAGGAATGCATCCCATACGGTCTGAGCTAAGCAACCTTCCCATTTGAAAGCGTATGTCAACATACCTGTCGACGTTTAACGAGATGCGGCACCTGCTGTAGATACGCAGTGCCACCTTTTTGGCTATCAACAATGAGTTAAGTTGGCGAAAAAGGAACTGGCTGATGGAGGATGTGCTAGAGCCTTCTCCAGCGTCAGAATGAGGACGGCTTAGAGAAAAAAACGGTTAGAAACTGAATGTCTGACAAAAACCATGTACATCTTGCAATAACGCAATTTCGCCCCTCGTACTGGGACGTCGGATAAGTTGCTAAAACGAACCCAATGTATGTATGAGGCTCGAATGTCCTGAAGCATGGCCAGATAGGAGACCGGTGAGCAGGTGGTGAGGTAAGCTCGTGAGGAGAGGAGGGCTGGCGTCCAAATATTCCGAGCACGCTGAAGGTTCGCTGGTGAATGTTCACTCTCAACGAGGTTGTTGCACTGGTGATCGCGGATGAGGCGGCTTTTCGAGAGCTGACAAAAAAGAACAGGTTCTACTGAACGAGGACGCAGGCAACTGGGGTTGGAAAACACCTTGGAAGTTCAACAAAGCCATAATTACCACGAGGGTGAGCTGACCTCCAACTAATAAGGCTAGAAAATCCGCCGGCGGGAAAAAGCAAGAAATACAAAACGATACTAGTAGAGTTGGCCCACGCTTCAAACAGGTTATTCACAGTTAGTATGAATTGTCGGAACATTTAACTGCTTGACCGCCTATAAACTGTTATCGGCTTTATAAGAATCGGGCAACTACAACCTCGAAATCCTAAACAAATCCTGAGAGACGTCTACGTATTATTTTAGTTTACTTTTTGTGAGTAATAGACAAAGTCTTTAAGGGAGTATTGTTTAAATACCGGTGTGTTTTATACAGCTATACACGCATTCTGAAGAACTTTCACTATTAAAGTAATATTCGCGGAAAAAGTAGCATTGTTCTTTAAACAAACTTTCGCCCCGACTAGACTTGGTATATAGTTCAGGTATAGAGTGTCGAGGGAAAACAAGGTACATATAGGCAGAATGTTATTACCGGACTATAAGCAGCCATCAGCCAGTTATACCCAATCCCAAGGTATGGAACACCTGGGGCTCGAAGTCCAACGCCTCTAACCACTGAGCCACGGGCTCGTTATCCTGTAGGTTTAGATCGAGAGTATACCATGGTAGAGGGGCGCTCACCGATCGTTCTTAAGGAACTCACTCGTTCCGTTGTGCACCGTCCAAGAGTCTTCTGAAGAGCTGCAGGGAAGTCGCCTCCACAACTGATTGGGGAAAATCATTCCACTGTTCTATCGTCTGTTGCGTGAAGAATTCAGAGCGAAATTTCCGTCTGAACATTCCTGTGTGTAGCTTCATTGAGTTTGCACGAGGATGAAGCGAAAGGTGACAGTGAGGTATGTCCTCAAAGTGCATTCGTTGTTCAAGAACGTGTATTATCTTGTAAACTTTGCTCTCTGTAACACACATGGAATATATTAACAGATTCCAGTCTTTCTAAATAAGACTGATAATTTAGATCTTTTATTAGCTTTGCTGCACGTCGTTGGAGTCTATTGAGGCATATTTTGTCCTTTGACAGCCATGGTCGCCAAGCCTATATGCCAGGTGAGGTGGACGGCGCTGAAGGTGTTTGTCGAAAGTCAAAAACGTACGTTTGATAGCGTGCAGTGCTTCTGTGGCGTTTTTGCAGCCTTGATTCAATTGCAATGAAGGTTTCAGATTGTTCTTTATCCGGACACAGATATCCTTTTGCGAAATAAAATGCCTTTCAGGCAACATGCCTGGAGGACGGCACACTTTTGCACATTGAGACTCAGAAGCCATTTCTCAGACCCCGTTTGCAGTCAGTGCACACGATTTTGAGGGGTTTTCCGGTCATTCGGACACCTAGTGACTTGCAAGGGTCATCGGCAAACATGGTCTTACAGCAGTAAAGTTCCCCACGACTGTCATTAACATAACGAATCAACAGCAAGGACCTGAGAGCTGGGCTCTAAAAAATATTACTAGTCACATACGTCCAGTTCGATTTATCTCCTCTGGCGCAGACGAGTTGTTTCCAACCAGCCATAAATGCCCTTATCCACTTCAGAAGGTTTCTCCTGATGCCAAAAACGCCCAATTTATGAAAGACGCGCTGATGTGGAACGCCGCCAAAAACTTTGCGGAGATCGATGTACACTACGTCTACTTCGAAGCTAATTAGCTAATCTCTCGGCAGTAAAACAATTGGCGAAGTACTCTTCAGATGGTATATTTCCAAGTGCCGGTATGATGTTGCTTATGGAGGGGAAACGAGTTATGCAAATATGCAGCAGAGACACACACGCTCGTTGTAGGCAGAATAGGATTACCGACAAAGGGGACTCGTCGGTAGCGCTATTCTGCCTATATCACGCTCCGCTGTCCGGCCGTTGTCGGGGCTTGAGAGAGAGAGAGAGAGTTCCAAGGCACAACGGGACGAGTGAGTTCCCTAGCACGATCGGTGAGCGGCCTTCTACCACGCCCGTTGTGTATACTAGTCTGCCCTGACTGAAGGACATAGGTGCGTAGTGGACAGAAAAGACGTCTCAGTTCTGGCGCAAACGGATCACTGGAAACGGCCGTAAACCCTAAATGTGTCAATAACTAGGGTTCGGGTATCGTTGACTGGCGACGACCAGTAAGCCAGAAATGGTCATTCCAGTGTCTGTAGCTTTTTTCGAAAGCGCTCATAGATGAAAGCAAAGAGATATCTCAAAGATATGGCTGAAAATTGATGAAACGTCAGTGAAGAAACCAAAAATTGCTTGGAGAAATGGCGAATCCACAATAGCGAGGGCGTTTGCGAAAAAATTACACGTTTATTAGAAGCTATACGTGCAGACAACTTGCGCTGCTATTTCAGTTTTCCGAGATCAAGCACAGTGCGCTGCATAAAGCAGGACCGGGCAAATCTTTGCGTCAGAAAAGCGTGCATATAGATAATAAACTATAGAACAATTCGGTACTCAGAAAATCACGGTCCAGGTTGTTTTTTGAGCGTCTCGACACGACAAAAGAACAGTCATGCATTGACTGGCACCCAACACTGAATACAACGTTCCTGCCGACGACACGCAACTCAAATACGTTGACAATTTCGCCTATTCAGGAAGTACATTCTCACGTGGAATCGAAATAGACGACGAAATGGTCAACTGAATCTCTAAAGTCAGCCAGACCTTTGGCGGGCTGCTGGCCTCCGCCTGGGACCGCCACGCACTCTGACGCAATACGAACTTCAAAATGTTCAAGACGGTAGTCCTGACGGAAACATTGACTGGCTACGCCAACCAAGCTAGGAAGCTCAGTCACTTCCGCCTCGGCTGTATCCGGAGAATAATAAAGCCAAAATAACAGAGCAGATCCTGGTTCTGGGACGGACCGAAATCCTCAGCATCCATGTCACGCTGAAGCAATTAAAGCTGCGATGGAACGGCTACCTCGTGAGGGTGGACGACGAGCGACTACCCAAACGACTCTTCTGCGGTGATGTTGCTACGGGTGACGGCCGAGGGGTCGGACAAAAACAACGCTAAAAGGACAGCCTGCAGACCTCACCTAAGGATCTACAAATCAATCCGGCGACCTGGACCGACGAGTCTAGAAAAAGGGGCAGTGACGACTGGACCAGCCACCTACTAAGCCAACTGGATGGTCGCTGCCAAAGCCCGAAGGCCGGTTCGCAAGCGCCACGGACACTTAACCCCACCGCCCCGTCGATTCCAACATGTCCACGTTGTCAGCGAACATTCCGCGCACAGATCGGTTTCGTCTGACATCTCCGGACTCAGTGCAACAACTCTCGCTCAGTTGGAATTCCAGCCACCCCCCTTGTGTGAAATTCTGGCCCTTAGTGTGTGACCAGGGGTGTGGTGGCACGTCTAGACGCGGGTTCACGCCATGCCAGCCGTCTGCGCCCGATTCCGCCTCCGATCTTCTTGACTCTGTCATGATACCAGTTCCATGTAGGAAAGGAGAGAGCGCGGTGAATGCAGCGCAAGTCTACTGTCACTATAAACTAACTCCAGCGCAGGTCACCGTCCCTTCGCCAACCCTGCTGCGAGGCACACACGGTGGACATCGTCAGAAGCAACGAACGAACCGAGAGCCCCAGGGGTGGTGGGGAATGGCATTGTCTTCAGCGAAGGCTAGGTGAGCAATAAGCAGGCTTCCAAGTCCGACCAAAAAGCGGCCGCAGATCAGCAGCAGCAACGCTTCAGGACGTGAAGGCCGAGGCTTGGCACGCAAGAGGTAGCATATAACCTGATTGTACGACTGTGACATGGGGGACCGTTAACCTCTACTAAACAAGTTTGCCCGTCACCACTGTATTATGGGTACGTTCTTAAACCAAAGCTGTGATAAAGAAAACTTCTCGTGAGCGATCCCGGCGACTGCTAAGCATGCGTCTACAGTCGAATTTCCCAAAATCCACGAAAATGTACGAATATAGCACCGTAATGCATGCCGCGGAGCCCGCGGAAACCGACGCGTGTCGTTTGCCTGGTCCATTGGTGCGAGAAAATTTTATGAGAGCTGAACTATTCAACTGAGAACGGACTCTTGGTGTAGGATGTTGAAATATGTAAATGTTTCCCACCTTTGTGCTCGAAGTTCGACGGTTCGCAGTTTTCATCAATACAGTGCTAACGTGTCGAGGAGATCAGGACCCTGTAAATCAGCTCCCACTTCATCCTATAACGCAGGGAGCCCATGTGACTCCTGCGATGGACACGGCGTGGTTATCGCCCTATTGTAACAGACATAGCATGTAATTCATGCGTGGAGACATTAAATGACCAGGTAGCTTACGAACCACTGGATGAGACACTGTACTAACACCATTATCGTTTCCGTATAAGAGCTAGCACTAACTGCCGACCGCTTGAAAGCCTTCCCCGTCGTGGTCGACCGATTTTTGCAAACATTCAGAATTGTCGAGTTGGGAAGGCGACCATTGCATCAGCCACGTTAGTGGCCGATTTAGGGCGGGTTCTCGACACAACAATGATGAAGTAGTGTTGAGTTTAGCTGACCGCAACCAGTTATTAGTCATCAGAAATTGCTTTCATCATCGCTGAAAACATCTGCCAACCAGATATTCACGCGATGGTCGTATGGACACTCAGCCTGGCTATATTTTAGTCAGTTTAAGGTTTATTAATCGGATTCATGATAGAAAATCACTGACTGGTGTTAAAATGGCAACATCTTATGATCAGTGCGCGTCATCAGTCGCACGCGCCTAAAAGTCTACTTCCCGTCTCGTGCAGAACATACCGACGAAAAATTACGACAACATAACGTAATCGAGACTTAAAACGTAGGAATTCTATCTTATCCTGCAGTCCGAGTTGAAGAGGGCAGCAGCTAATGGTCACCATTGAAGTCCTCAGCCTTCATGATCAGCACAAGAACCCTACAGGTGTTTGTTCAGACAGCTCGAGTTGGGCCCTACAGCGAAAATTCATCCCACCAACTCCAGAAAGTGAAGGGGAATGTCGGCATGGGATGACCGTAAAGGCTATTGACCTGAAGTGGCAACCCCCACGAAGTGGGCCTCAAACATCACCGACATCCGAGAACTCTACTAAGTTATTCTGCTAGTACTGTTCGCGATGCGAATGGTGGGTGTTTGCTGACAACTCAGTCACGTTTGAGTATCGCGTGAACACTTTGAACGCCTGTCCAACTTGAGTGAGCGAGCATAATTCTTTCATCCAGAGTGGAGTTTTATCCTTCTCCAGCCTATACGGTCCCAGATGACCCTTCCGCACAGGAATAAAGCACTGATATAATAATGAAGTCGCGCAGCAAGAAGATCCTTGGAGAGACCAGGATCCTTGCTGCGGTTTACAAGCCCGTGTACCTATTGGCAGCATGGCTCCATAAGGTGATTGAATAGGCGGTTTTAGGGGTGTGTGATCCGAGAACGAGACCCAACCTGGATGGTTTTCGTGCGGAGAGTGAACGCGTTTATCAGATATGCACACAAAAACACATTTTTGAACTCTGTCATGACTACCAGCAGAAGTTTCTGACAAATGGACAGAGTACGCATGGTATTAATGCCCAAATTGACGCTGCTTTCATTTTTTGAAGGCTTTAAGAGGTGTATGTGGACCCGTTGCAATATCAATGCCATTAAAAAAGCTTCGCACATCCTTCATCCGACCGGCCAATTCGTCTATACGACTGTGAATAATTGCCTGTGTGGATAGTAGATGAGCGAAAACTGGCGGCGTTTGACCAATGTTGCCTGAGAACCATTCATTGGTCAAGTACACAGACTTCCTCTCGAATGAGACAGTCACCTGCCCCATGAGTTCATTATTATTATCCTTGATCCCGAGTTGTTGACCACCTGAGAGGACCAACGGATTTGATGGTTCGAAATCCGGCCGAACACAGCTCGTCAGGATATGACAGTGGTCCACTGACTATTAGTATTCGGTCCCCAACGTTAACGAAAAGAACTTCTCAGACCCACTACCGCAAATCGCCACGACTGGAGGTGGAACTCACAGCATCAATACGGTCGGTTGGATTAAGCGCGGGGACATTTGTACCGAGTAAAAGTTAACAGTCGCGGTTCGCGGCTGCAACGTAGCTTTGAAAGCGATCGGCAGAAGTTATAAATTTAGGCATTGTCAAGCCTGTTGTATCGGAAGTATGACAAATGTAAATACTGCATTCAAAGCCAAGGGATTTATGCATACTCTGAAAAAGGCAGTGTTTCCTTGTTATTGCTCTAAATTGACTCCTTTGTGACAGTTTGTTTCTTAAGAGACGCCAAATAATTTCTTCAACATATCTCTGGTGGTCCACTGAGAGAAAAAACCCAAATGTTTGAAAAAAGAAAACTGTCAGTTTTTTTGGTTCGTCGGACCTCACAGTGGAGTAGTTATATTATATAGCCTCTTTTTTATAATTTCCTCACGCAGCACGTCAATAAGATCACTGGGTGAATAAATCGGAACCACTCGAAGGATGTGGATAGAAGAACATCGTCCCCACGCGCCTGGCAGTAATTCAACGCTTTTAAACGGAGATGCGGGTCTTAGGCTCAGAAAATATCAATACTTATTCTCAGTAAATTTTCAAGGTCTTCATCGTCGCACTAAATATGGAAACTTCGAGCAAAGTAAAACTTCCTATTTAATTTGTAACTTTTTGTCCATACTCCTACCTCGACTTGCTAAAATTGACTTCAATCGCCTGGTCAGACAGGTCATTAATTTTTCGAGGGCATAGCTTTGGCAAAGCGTTGTAATGCAGTGATGTAAATACGGAAGGCGGCAACAAAATGGGAGTCATCGGGACAACCGTATAGTAGACGTGATGGAAGCAAACGTCACGGCAAATAATTCATGCGGGAATTCCATAGCAGAACGCTCAGTTTGTCAGATTAGATGTCTCGAAGTTAGGTAAAACATAACAGTTAACGGCCTGAAATGCTAACTTACAATTGCTGGCCGATGACCGTCAGGCCAGGGTTCATCCGACGATACGCGTCGCACGGCCTCGCGGAAAGCACACCCCTCAGTAGATACGGTTCTCGTGTGGGAGAACACTTTTGAGAAGCGATAGGGCGAAGTCTGCACATGTCGGGAGCACGTCGGTTCTGACGGCCAGGAGTAGCAAGCAGAGCAGTAGTTGCTGGTCAGCAGAGGAGCACGAAATGCTAAAGGAGCGTAAGACAGACAATGGGAAGACGCAATGCTTGAGATGCAGGATCCCTAAAAAGGAAGAAAAGGGCCATTTACAGAGCTTGGTTAACTCATGTGACAGATTAAGTCCCTTTAAAGCATACATTGTCGTCTCTATCAACCATGCGGTCTCTGAAAACCAGAGAAGGGTGGAGTTTGAAAGATGGGGAGACAAGCGACTATTTCTTCACTAATTCGGAAATTCGGGGCCTCCAGTCATCCCAAAAATTGAAGCCGTGGTGCCCAGCCTCACTAAATGGACACGATAGAAATTAGGGGTATTTCTTTTTCTTGGTCGGAAATGAAAGTCTGCAGTTCGATTGTTCCCTTGTTCAGAAGAGGACAACCCAGCGGTCATGACGGACAGTTCCCCAGTTCCTTAGGGAGTCGAGCGGTTCATCCTCATTGAGTCGTTCTACCGTTAAGTATACAGTGTCTGGCTCCATTAATGCTCATCATGAGGACAGGAGACATGGAAAAATCAGCAAAAATTCCATCCCAAGGAAAAGGCCAAAAGTTATACTTGACAGGGTTCGTCAGAAGTTTAGAAAGGGGCCTCATCTCTCAAGTTCACAATTAAATTCGGTAAAGCTACCCAGCAGTGGAAGACTTTCCATAAGACCGAACTAGGACACTACCCTCTCCTCCGATCAGTAATGCTGTGAGTTAGAAGTAGCATACCGGACATGCGCAATACATGTTTCGGTCATCAGGACAGATATCCGGCCGTTGACGAAGTGCTTCATTTCTAATGTATATGTTGGGAGTTTCTCTTAGACCAAACAACGTAGTTATGGCGAATATGCGATAGGCCAAACTCAGGTCATTGAACACATCGGAAGTACATGTAAACTCTGTCTTTCACGACGAAATGGACCGTGCAACAGGCAGAAGGTCTAGCTCGACTACTCTGGTAGTGCTCGTTTTGTTTTATAACGTGAGGGATAGTAATATAATATACAGCATAAATAAACAACACAGGCCACTTCAAACAGGTCGCCATACACCACCCGACAATGAAGCTATATGCGTTCGGACTAAATCAAAATTTTAATTGTTTCCCCAAAAGCGATGGACAGAGGACAACAGAAGGAATGTCCCCGAAAACAAAAGTTGAGCCAGAAACTTACAGTGTGAATGACTCATTACATAATCGAAACGCTTAAAAGAAAGGAAACGAATATCTGCCTGAAAAAGTATGCGCACTTACAAGCGGGAAGGAACACGCCGGCAACTGACAACTTAGGGTCATCTCGTTGAATGCAAAAAAGGAGCAACTAAGGACGCGCACTTGTCGACCCTGGCTGATCCAAGCAAGCCGGAGGCGTCCAGTTTTAGGACATACGGAGGGGTGAATGAGAACGACGGTTGAAAGTCGAAAGCATTTGCAGATTGTCGTCGAAGCGGATGGCGTCAAGCAAGGAGGGAAGGGCAAATTCTCGCCATATACAACAGGCAGGTCAGCCGATTCAAATGCATCTTCCGAAAAATTGTTCCAGTATTTTGACAGGCTTGAAAATGAAAATGACTGATGATCCGGGTAGAGACGTAGCAGGCGCATATGCTGCGGACAACTGAAGGTAGGAGAATCTACTACAGAAGACCAGTTTTGGGAAAATCCCAGAGACATTGCAACTTCACAGCAGCTGGCACATTCGAACTGAGGCAGTGATCCCCAAATTACCAAGACATCACCATCAAGAGCCTAGAAAGCGCAAAATTGTTGCGTCCAAGCAGAAAGAATTTGATCACCGGACATGAGGGGGAGACATAAAGGAGGTTTTGACTTACCGATGCGACCAGAAAAATGAAATTATCCGGATCATTGAGCGACTGCAAGAAGCGGACAGCGGGCAAATCTGACTGGAAAGGGCAGTCAGTGTAAGTCTTAAACGAGAATTGGGCAAAGGGATGCTGTAAACGTATGGCACTTGGGTGCGAAGGAAAGGCCCAGAAACGTACGAAGAACTGGCCACCCTGGATTGAATAGGAGACTAAAAAACGCCCATTTGCAGTGAAGCCCAGAAATGTTTCGCCCAAAAGATTGGCAGGGAGGAGGTCTTTTAGACAATACCGACGGAGGCCCATTGAGGGGACTGCTGCCTGGCCGATAGAAAAAGGTCCCAGAATTTCCCTTCGGGATAGGAAACTTATCAGGCTCATCTATTCAAGATCGGAATAACAAATAAGGAAAAAAGGATTAGATGGGAGGTCGGGATTGGCTGACAGCATGAGAAAAGAATACTAAGACGACATAATTGTAGACGACTAATAGGAACGTCCAAAAGTTTCCCAAAAATATTGCGCATCGCAAAGATGAAACGCAGAACATCAGGATATATTTATCTCCTCGTTTTGAAGGCCGCGTCGTCTGGCACAGACGTGATCGAAGCGTCGAATTCGCCTCGGTAACGAGAAGTGCCACGCGTTAGAATGGAATCAGAAATAAGCAACTTCCCAACTTCTTAGTGATGGCAGGTGAGATTTTGCCACCAAAATTACGAACACAGTAAAGCGAGCAGAAAATAGGCCCAGTTGAGTTCTCCAGATACCACTAGGCTGAAGAATAAACAGACGAAAGATAACGGAGTGAAAAGCCCTGGAAACTGTCATACAAGACGATGACGCATGTTACCGATGATTGGAGGACAATTCGCAGTCCATTGTGACAGAAAACGTTCATTTATCGCGAAAAACAATGCCCACCTAGTGATACTACAGTTCACACATGAGTGGACATATTTGCAAGTTTATAGTATCCACGTATAAGACAAGGAAATCTGATGCATGTATTTAAAAACGCAGCAGTTATATGTAAAGGGGACACTAAAAGTGCAGCGGATCCGGAAAAGAAGTTCACAAAGCAAAAGTAAGCAGCTGACAAGCCCAGATGAAAGGAAAGTTAGTAACCACGACCGAAAGATTGTCAAAGAGGCAACATAGACCGCATACTAGATTTGGCGGCATTGCCCAGATGGCCCGCACGGTGCCTTCTTCTTCGACATTTCTGCAATAGGTAATTTAAAGGCGTTCGACTGTCTTTGCCTTAATAAAACTGGACTGAAATAAGCTTAAGAAATGGGGAAATGTCGGCCTACTGTTGGAGTGAATGCGGGTAAAATAAAAACCGCACTACGAACCGGCTGTCAACATGTTGTTAAGAACGGCTTAGCCTCTAGCGGATGGATGGCATGGAGCATTACGCGCAATCGAGTTGATAAACAATGTAGATAACCCGAGGGAATAAAACCCTGAAACACTTGGCGACCCACAATAAGAAAACGACATTTCCGTGTGCGCGTGTGTGCGCTTAGAGAGCTGCCCGAGTCACCATAACAGCAACACAAGTAGCGATAAATGCGGTAAACTTAAAAGAAACCGTCAGACCCAGATACTCACTGGAACAGCCACCGCTGTAGAGACAAGAAATATCGGAAAAAAGGATTTTATTGCCAAAAACTAGTGTTGAATCTAATGACTCAGAAGCTAGTCATCCACTAAAAGTCAATGCATCTTCCTTTGCGCTCCCAGTCTCCGTATCTTGTCGGTTCAGGGCCACGTGGTCCATCCCTTTCGCCCGTTAGTGGGTTGATATCGTTCGGAAAGCGCTCCAGAGGTTCTTTTTCAGCATCAGGGTGGATTCTCAGTTCTCTGTTAATCCCGCTTCCTTTTTGATCGCAGGTAGAGTAAAACAACTTGTTGGGAAAGACCTTAGCGGGTTTCCTCATAATCTGCATAGTTACAACCCTCGAAACGCTGAGAAACGACTGCATCCTGAAAGTTCACAGTCAATATTTGCCTTTCGCACCCAACCTTCAGTCTAGTAAAACCAGCTGATAGTCGCCTTCATCTGACTTAAGTGTTCGAACCTTCCAAAGGGCGCAAACCTTTCTTAGGTTCGGAATGGGTATTAACGGACATGTTTCTTTGATTAATTTTACAAATGTTTTACAATTTCCCCAAATCTTCGGACTAAATTGGTGTGCGAGAGATGATGAGAAAATCTTGCTGCTTTTGTAGGAACGGAGTCTTATTTTTGCATAAAATTTCACATATGTTGAGGAAAGATTGATGTTGTGCGTGATAACAGAGAAGTGTTAATCCTTATCGACCTTCGTTTTCTTCAGTAGATAATTGCTGCCTTTTGTGTTGTCTTGTGGGTAGGCTTGGCTAGCTTCTAGCGTGTTCTTAGATTTATCTTCTCTGATAGTTTGGAATTTTACTCGTAAGTTTGAGTTCGAATAAACGTTATGTAAGCTATGCCGTGACTGGTGTGCATATTTTCTCTCCCTCAAAAGTGCCAGTCATAGAGGAGGTAGGGACAGGGTTCAGAAAAGACAAAGTATTTGACAAATAGACGAACTGTCTTGTTTGGTGCTCCTGGGGGTAATGTAATAATAAGTTAACTTAAATTTTCAAACGAATTTCAGAACGAGTGGACAGATACTGTACAGGGTTTAGTTCTTGCTTATGAAAAAAAACAGTCTGCTAAGCAGGACGGTTAGTGAACAGTAAAAAAACTCCTTCAGTTCTTAATAAAGCGTAAGACGAACGTTGTTTAGGTTGTTAATTTGCGTGAGAAAACCATCGCTCACGGGAACGTAAATATGAGAGTCGGACAGGATCGACCCGCAGATGAGCGTATACAAGAGTTCAAAACGGTCCTCGTCAAGCTTAATTTCCCAGACAGGATGAGTCTCTTCGCTGCAGATGCTACCCTAATATTTTTGCGCCAACAGCAGACACAACCATAAGAGTGGCAAAAGAGGAGGGAATTAACGTGGTCGATCAGAGTCCATTTGAATTCCAGGCAAGGAGCAGTCGTTAAACGCTGCAAGGTCCGTCAAACGGCGGGGAAACGTGGTCGTGATACTCCTTTAATAAAATAAATAAATAAATTTTTTTATTTAATGCCAGTTCACAGGCATTGTCAAGGGAAGCGATTAAACATAAATCCGACCGGCAGTGAAAAAAAAACTCCAGAGCTTAAGGGATAAAAATATAGTTGATGGTGGTTTTTGTGGTTTGGAGGGCTGAGGAGAAAAAAACTGCCGGTGGTGGGAGAATATCGACCGTCAAGAAGGGGGGAGGTTGCACGGTATCGGATATCATCGGACGTCTAATTCCTTTCATGAAGTTGGGGATAGTCAAAGTAGAGGCGTTGAGGAACAGCTGGTGAGACCGGCCATAGTGTTCAGAAACCTCAAACGCTATCGCTACGGTACAGTCGATCAGAATTTTCAGCATCCAAAATTTGTGGGAGCTTTTCTGAATGCAAAAATCGAGTAATAGTTCTCTTAAATAAAGGATAATTTTGCGGAGTTTTCACACTCATGGATAGTTTATTCCAAATAGCAATTGCATTTACAGAAAAGAACCGACGATATTTAACAGTACGTGCCAGAGGCAGAAATAAGAAGACCTCACGGTGACTGTTACGTCGTGGGTGGATATGATGTCTTAAAGAGGTGAGTGGGTTAAATGTGTGATTATTTAAGAGTTTAAATAGCAAAAATAGTCCTTTTTGTAATCAACGGAACCATAAAGGATCGAGGCCTGTAAGCCGGCAACGTTCTTGGTAAGACAAATGTCGGTGTTCCGTGGCTAAAATTCTCTTGGTAAAAAAGTGTTGAACGGATTCTATTTTCTTCCGTTCAGTAGCACGCATGAGGCTAAATAAAAACGAACAGTATTCCAGACCAGGTCTAACGTACATGTTGAAAAGGCGCATTCTAATGTCCCTAGTTTTAAAATTTCGGAGGATAAACCCGGTCGTTCTACGTGCTTTGGAGACTATCAAAGCACAGTGCTCCGAGAGATTGAGACTCTTGGAGTATGAAACGCCCAAATCCTTTTTAACCCCTGGCACATTTATTGCGTGACCTTCAATACTTAGTTGAGGTTGGCGGTCGTCGCCAACCACCAGGACTGAGCACTTGTGCCGAGAAAGAGAAAGGCGCCATGTGCGGCACCACTGGGCGAAAGCCTGTAGATCGCTCTTTAGGAGCTCAAGCACGATGTCATGATCTGCCGGCACATATCGATATGCAACTTTAAGATCATCGGAATACATGAAAGGCCTACCATTCTGAAATAAATCGGGTACATCATTAACGAAAAGGCAAAATAAAAGCGGGCCGAGTACACTACCCTGAATGACTCCACTCCTCACACGTGTGGGCTTGGAGATGGTATTGGAAATCTTAGCTCGTTGTGTGCGAGTGCCCAAATAAGAGTATATAAAATTCAAAAGTTTGTCACCTATTCCGAAGGAGGACAATTTCAAGAGGAGAAGGGCATGGTCAACACGGTCAAAAGCCTTAGTGAAATCGAAATATACTGTGTAAAGAGCAAAACCATGGTCCCTAGATTGGAGAACATAGTCAAAGAAAGAGAGTTGACAGGTGTCACAAGATCGAGCTTTGAGGAATCCATGCTGAGCAGCACTCAGTAAGTAATTCGCTGTTAAGTGACACATCATCTTATCCTCGATCAATGTTACTGGCTGACTAAAATTCTGGCAACTGGGCGAACCGCATGAATCCGCCGTGATCATCGACATATCGCTGGGGGTCGCGACAGGGAGATGACGTTAATATCCGCGAAAACCATTGTTCACAAAAGATTACTGAAGAGTAGTGTAAATTCTTAATGAGGGTAGGTCGGGAGCATGGAGTGATTAGATGGTGACAGACCGAGGGTGGGGCCGAAAATGGTGAGGAAATCTCGAAATCTCAGAGGCCAGAACGGCATCCTGATGAGATCTGACGATAGGCGAAGCGGCGGCGGCTTAAAGCGTGCATTTAAACGTGGCCCCACTATACCTCTGAGGGCTTCGTTTGGGGGACAGGAATGAATACCTCATTCAGCACATAAAATTCGGAACAAGAATGAGAGAAGGACAACGATCGAATTGTTTAGATCTCGTTTTCAGTAAAGAAGAAGGACTCATAAAGGAAGTGAATCCACGACCTCCACTCGGCTTAAGCGATCATATTGCTTCTGCCTGCGTGTGCGCTCTCCTATCCAACCAACAACCAAAAATCAAGACGCGCATAAATATTTGGAAGCGTGACTTTAACGCAATGCGACGCACTCTTTTGGAAGAAACCTGGTTGGTCAACACAGAAGATTCAGACGAATTCTGGCAGTACTTTCGCGGGATTATAGAGCGTCTGATTCAGTTCAGTTCAGTTTGTTGAGGGAAATGTAGGTCTTCACCTTTGAACTCCCTATTTGTTTACAAGCAACTGCAAAATCTCAAAAACTCGAAACGGTATTATAAAGTAACAAATAATCGGAAAAGCGTCAGGTCTGTACAGACAAACAAACTGTCTCGGATTTCAGTGGTACGAGCAGTTGTAGAGCTGTCGTTTCGAGTGCAGCGAAATAAATAATATGTCCGGGGACAAAATTTGCATATGTGCATGTCAGTAAGCGTAGGCGATGGGTTGGTACAATAATAAGTTCAATTTAAAATGTTACTGAAATATAGCAAGTAGTATTATAATAATGGAATTTGTCGAGGTTACAGAGATCGGGGTGGTAATTTAGTGTACACTGCTACACAAATCCAGCTGCCTCTTAAAAACCTCGACGGAAGCAGACATAACGACATCCACAGGCAGGGCATTCCAGGCTTCTAGCTCTCTGTTGGAGAAGAAGAACTTTCGTGTGTCCAGTCTGGCCCCTGTCACACGTAGTTTGAATGGATGGCCTCGTAGATTTGTGGTGGTTGCTAACTCGAAGAAGTCACCCGGTACGAGGCTGCAGTCCTGACCGCGTATGATACGGAAGGCTTGTATCAGGTCACCCCATAACTGCCTGTAACTCAAGGGAAAGAGATCAAGGTTAGCTAACCGCGTTCCATATGGTAGTGAACCCTGTCCTGCCACAATTTTCGTTGCACGCCTTTGAACCCTTTCAAGGATGCTGAGGTCCTTCGCGGTCCAGGGTCTCCAAGCTTGGATAGCAAATTCTAGTTGCGGACGCACAAAAGTTCGAAAGACTTTGGCGAAGCAGTCTTCGTCAAAGGCAGAGGAAGCCCGCTTGACAAGGTAGAGGACTGACATTGCAGACTTGGCTATCTTCGTGCAGTGCAGCGAGGGTTTGAGCGAGGTCGTTATCCATACTCCCAAGTCCTTCTGCGAGTCCACTTCTTGCAGTGGTATACCATTTAGACAGTAGGCCATATGGTTCGGAGAGCGAGCTCTGCCGACTCGTAGAATATCACACTTTTTCTCGTTGAACGGCAGAAGCCAGGCCTTTGACCACTGTTGGAGTCGATTTAGGTTCGCCTGCAGATGCTCTTCGTCATCTGCAGTTCGAATGACGCTCCAGAGCTTAATGTCATCCGCAAAAATGGCGACACCACAATCCAGTTCACGCACGCAATCGTTGACGTAAATGATGAACAAAGTAGGGCCAAGAACTGAGCCTTGGGGAACACCGCTTTCAACGGCAACCTCCGTCGACTTCTGGCCACCGACATGGACAGTTTGACAACGGTCTAACAGGAAGCTTTGAATCCATTTTAAGAGGTTACCCCTAACGCCTGTTCGGCTCAGTTTGTGCAGGAGTCGCTGATGTGGGACACAATCAAATGCCTTTTTGAAGTCGATATAGACTACATGCAGCGCATTGCCTTCATCAACTGACCGAGTCCAACGTTCTAAACAGTTGAGCAGGTTATTCACGCAAGACCTGCCACTACGAAACCCATGCTGCGCATCAGATAATAAATTATGCTGCTCTAGGAAGCGCATCAGCTCTCGCTTGATTATTTTCTCCATGAGTTTGCAGCAGATGGAAGTGAGGCTAATTGGCCTGTAATTTTTTTGCAGAGGCCTTGCTGCCTCCTTTATGCAATGGTGTGATCCGCGCAGATTTCCAGTCGGCGGGCAAGCCGCCGGCTTCGAACGAGGCTTGGAAAAGCATGGACAATGGTTTGGCTAGTTCGGCAGCGAGCTCCTTCAGTAACTTAGGCGGTTTGTCGTCTGGACCTGGTGATTTCGACTCATTTAGCGTCATTAGCTCTTTGCGAACCGTCGCTTCATCAAAAGACACAGACTCAATTTTTGGACCCTCATCGAAGTCGTAGTCGGGGGGAGTAAATGGACTTTCACTAGTAAAGATGGATTTGAAAAATTGTGAAATGTGCTCAGCTTTTTCTCCATCCTCACTAATCTCTACGTCTCCGCTAGTCTTCAGGAGGGGGATTGGATCTCTGTTTCGTGTGCTGCTTCTTATGTAGCTGTAGAATAATTTTGTATTTTCCATAGCACGATTCAATAGGTCTTTTTCAAAATTTTGCCGTGTCCTGAGGGTCAGCCGCTTGACTAAGTTCCTCTGCATTTTGTATGCGTTTATGGATACAGGAGTCCCATCAGTAAGAGATTTCTGCCACAATCTCTGTTTTTTATTTATTTCCTTTTTTAACGCCTGGGCCAGCCACCGGGGTCGTTTGTTTAGCCCCTTCCGCGAAAGCGGGCAGTGGTTTGTCAGGAGAGCATGCAGTAATTCACTGAACCATTTCCAATTCTCCTCTATATTTCCGGAAAACGCTGATTCCCAGTCCGTATTGTTGATTTCGGCCTTCATTTGATCGAAGTCCACACGCCAAATATTTCTTCTAATTTTGGTGGGCTGTTCAGGCACGGAAAAGATTGAATAGTCCCATTGAAGTACAACGTGATCGCTTCGACCTAAGGGAGGCAGACATTGTACCTCATCTATGCTGTCCATCGATTTCGTGAGCACCAGGTCCAAGCAGTTTGACTGCTGCCCCTCACGGGCCCTTGTGGGAAATAGGACGTGATGTGTGAGAAATGACCTGAGTGCCATGTCCAAGAAGCGTCGGTCGAAAGCTAGTTCTGGGCCGCGCGCGTATAGTGAACTCCAATTAATGAGCGGTGCATTGAAGTCGCCCATGATTAGGACGTCAGGCCGGAGAGCAAATCGTCCTAGCTCCTCTAACAGACGAGCTTCAGCCTCGGGGTCACTCTTTGGTGGTCGATAGACGGTCAGAACTTCAAGGCTATGTGATCCTGGTACCCTTATAGTGAGCCAGATAGTCTCGGCGCTGCAGGCAAACTGTTCTGTTTTTTCTGACACAAGCAGGCCGTGTTTTACGTACGTGACGACTCCTCCTCCCTGACGCTCTCTCCTGTCTCTTCGAAACAATTGAAATCCTGGTAGCATTAATTCGCGGTCATCCACGTTTTCAGACAGCCAGGTTTCTGTCAAAGAGACAATGTCAAGGGAAAGGTCACAGATGTGGATTTTCAGTTCGTCTAACTTGGGCAATATACTCTGCACGTTAGTATCAGTATGTATCAGTATCAGTATATTTCAGGGAAAGTAGGTGTGTACCTTTGAAATCCCTATTGGTTACATGCAGAGGATATATATGGAGGAAATGGAAATGAAGTAACATGAAAGAAATGCGAGGGGAATAGCAAAAACTGTACAGATTAACGCAGAACGTCATGCGTTAACAGAGTTTAGAGGCACATTAACTTGCTTTGTTGGTCAAAATACAGCGTACAGTTGAGGCACACTTAAGACACGGGAGAAGAATTAAAATTGTTTAGTCTACAGGCATCGTGGTGAATGCGAACAGCGGAGTGCGACGTGGCCCAGGCTTAATAAATAACATAAACATATATTACTTAAATGTTGGTAGTAGCATCGTTATAACACTTAATTGTCCGCGTTGGCTGTCAAGGTGGCCGTAGTCCGGCGTTATTGTGGTGCGCGCTACAATGCTGATCTAGTCTCCATTTAAAAGTATCTACCGAGCCTGACATAACAACATCCTCAGGCAAGGCATTCCAAGCTGCAACCACTCTGTTGGAGAAGAAGAACTTTCGGGTGTCTAGCCGGACACCAGCCACACGCAGTTTGAGTGGATGGCCTCTCAGGTTAGTCGTAGTCGCCAACTCGAAGAAGTCTCCAAACGCGAGGCAGCAGCCATGATTGCGCACGATGCGGAAAGCTTGTATCAGGTCCCCACGTAGCTGTCTGTAACTCAAAGGAAAGAGGTCAAGATTAGCTAATCGCGTTTCTTAGGGTAGTGACCACTGCCCAGATACAAGTTTCGTTGCTCGCCGTTGAACTTTTTCGAGTATGCCCAAGTCTTTAGCGGTCCAGGGTCGCCATGCTTGGATAGCAAACTCCAGATGCGGTCGCACAAAAGTTTGAAAGACCTTGGCGAAGCAGTCTTCATCAAAGGAGGAGAACGCCCGTTTGACAAGGTATAGCATGGACATCGCCGACTTGGCCACCTTTGAACATTGCAGCGAAGGCTTAAGCGAGGTTGTGATCCATACACCCAAGTCCTTCTGGGCGTCGACTTCTTGCAGTGGTTTGCCAGTCAGACGGTAGACCGTGTGGTTAGGAGAACTGGTTCTGCCGACGCGTAGGAAAGTACACTTGTTTACGTTGAACGGTAGAAGCCAGTCTTTCGACCATTGCTCGAGGCGGTCCAGATTTGTCTGCAGTCGCACCTCGTCAACTTCGCTTCGTATGGTACTCCAGATCTTTATGTCATCGGCAAACATTGCGACATCGCAATTCAGTTCGTTTGCGCAGTCATTGACGTATACGAGGAACAGCGTAGGGCCAAGAACAGAGCCTTGGGGAACACCGTTGGTGTAAAAAATGTTAGTTTCAGAGTTTTGGGGCGTTTGATTATGGTGCCGCTTGTGATCCCATTGATTGATACTCATTGTCCAAGAAAAATGACAAGACCATGTATGCGACCGCCGTGGGTCAATCCGACGACAAAAAAGACCATGAAGAAGAAACAGAGACTCTGGAAAATGTATTTGCAACTTCGAGATCCAAGGTCACTCGCCGAATATAAGGATTGGCGAACTAAATGCGTAAAGAAATACGGGTTGCTAGAAGTTCTTTCGAGCGTCGACTGATAGCAGAGGGTAGTGGAGAAATGGAACGATCTCCCTCAGTCAGTCGTGGAGGCGACGTCTCTGCAACTCTTCAAGAAACGCTTGGATGATTATTTCTGTCCCCTGCTTTCCCTTGGCAGTCTGAATCTGAATTAATACCCCTGGTCCAGACAAATATTTTCTCTGAGACAATGCCACTCAAATGAACCACGTACTGTTTTAATAGTGAACAGTTTTTGTTCGTGTACAGTTATTTCTAACGAGCTGACATGTAATCAATAGGGTTTTCAAAGGCCTTGCATATTATCCATACCAAATAAACTGAAATTAACTGAATAAACTGAATAACGGATAAATCGAAATTTCCGTTGACACCCAGGAAAGCGAAACCATACTCATTTTGACAAACGTGAGGGGCCACAGCACTTTCGCGTGGACGTACTAAATTCTCGACGATCCTCTCTCAAAATCATAAATATAGTCTCCTACGAAGGATGAGGAAAATAATAATTTTTTCGAATCAGTACTCAGATCAGGGCGCTGTTATCCATCAAAAATATATGGGTTATCCGATGATCTTATATTGATTGGACGGCGATTGCAAAGGAAAGTATACTTCGAAACGAGGAAAAGGGGGCAATTAGTTTCAGAATAAAGTAGGCGGGGGCCTTGAAGATCATGCTCACAGAAATAGACTGAAAAGGACGCGCAAATGTTTACGTAGATATGTGCTGAAGTACTTGAATACTTGACCTTTGACAATCTTGTCACGTTTGTTTTACTATAGCATTCGTTTTAAAGTGACGAGGACTCCGTCGCTTGTATGCTCTCTGGTCAGGTCGTTGCACATTCAGAATATTAACTTTATTCACTTACTGGCCTTCCTTACCTCTCTCCGTTTATGAGGTTAGTAAGCCGTAGATCGTAAGTTCGCGGGAACGACATAATTTGAGTCATTGGTGATTCCCGACGTTAGCGCAGACTGTGAATAACCGCGTCTTTTGAATTCGGTTTGAAATTTTCGACCTCCGAGGGATTTAACTTTTTCGAGTCTCCTGAGTCCTGGACACCCTGACGGCCTCTCGGAATTTACAAGTCGATTATTCATAGCAATATCTCGATTCTCACAGAATTTCAACGGGGGTCTCGTTCGGAAAGCCTATCTCCTTCCGACCACATCAGGACTTGTGAGGGATAACCTATCGTCGTCCAGTCGCCTCTCTGCAACAGCACGGAGCAATACCCAAAACCTACGAAAGGCTGAGTCGTTTACCTCATATCCTCGATCTGGTTGAAAATTCGTGTCATACCTTTAAGAAAACCGTTTGAAACTTGTAAACTCGGTAGTGTTATTCAGAGAAATGCCCTCAAAACACGGTGTAAAATGTATACCCAAGGCGGGATTTGAACCCGGTCCATCGGTCGGACAGACAACCGACGTTACCGCTAGGCCAGTGACTCGCGCCAATGTCGTTAAAAATAATAATACATATTCTATTACGCATGATATTAATGACTGTAGTGTTGGACGTTCTGCTGTCAGACCAATGCCCGTAAAACGCGCAAAAAGTCTAGTGAAGTTGGGGGATGTCACATACGACGATGAATTCTGTACCACATGTTTTGGACTCATCCAAAAGTTTTCAAAAATGGAGGGGGAGTTAAAAGGTCTAAAAATGGAGGTAGAAAAGTTAAGGCAGCTTACTCACCACTTACGTGAAGAGAAGAAGCCGACGAATTCGGCAATTCAGAATCGGAAAAAAACATATGCAACCACGGCTTCTTTAGCCATATCAAACGCTGAAACTGACGAATGTTCGTCCAGGGAACTAGACACAGTTGAATGCCAGTCTCTCAGGCGAGAAAAAGACCAGCGA